CTCTGGGGCATAGGGCGATTCCCGAAATCCAGGTCGGGGCTTAGCCAGTCAGGTATCTCCACCGGGGGGATTGCTAGGAAGGAGAAGAGGTCTCCTATTTGGGCCGGGTGCCGGAGTATAAATGTACGACCATTCCTGCGGACATTTAGGCTGAAGGGGTAGCCCCAGGTGTACAGGCCACCGGCTTGACGGATCTCAGAGAGGAGGGGCTGGAGCATCCTCCGCATTTAAAGAGTGTGGTGAGACAGATCTGGGAGGATAGTTATGTCCACGCCATCAAAGGGTATGGTGCCCTTCTGCCAGGCTTTACGTAGGACAGCCTTTTCTTGCAGGAGGGATTCGTTCAGTCGCCAAGTGAAAGGCGAGCGAATACCCTCCCCCACGAGTATACTCATGTGTACCGGGGAGTGATCGTATAGGGCCAAAGTACCTATGGAAGTGCCGGAGAGAAGGGGCAATGCTGCGTGTTGGAGCAAAAAGAAGTCTATGCGTGAATAGGATTGGTGCGGGGCTAGTTGAAGTTCAAACAATGACCGCTTGACTCTTTTCCGCTGGGCGTGCGAGAGTTGTGAGATTCCCCTCGTGGGGTCTAGTACCATGTTAAAATCTCCCCCCAATATCCATAGTCCCTCCGCAAACAACTCTATCTGTTCCCAGAAGGATTCTAGGAAAGTCACCTGTCCAGAGTTCGGGGCATAAACTGTGGCAAAGGTCACCCTGTGGCCATGAAGATCCCCTTTTACTAACAGCATTCTCCCCTCCGGGTCTGCATGTGTCTACATATTGCCATGGTAATGATGCTCACCCCTTTTGATTTAGAGTCCCAGGATGGGGCATGATAAGACGTGGAATATCTGTGGTTCCCTAGTTTGGGGATATGCCCAGCCTTGAAATGGGTCTCTTGTAGGAATGCTACATGAGACCTCTGTCTCCACAGCTCGTTCAGTAGATTTGATCTCTTTGAGGGGACATGGAGCCCCCTGACATTAAAGGAGGTGACATTGACAATCGGCATGTTGTGTGGTGCAACTCACCGCTCCCGTGGTTTTGCTTCCAGTGAACCCGCAGGGACTTCTCCAGGCCAGTCCAGCTATTCAGGCGCACAGCCTCGGGTTGTACCCTCTCGGTGGTGAGCTCTCGGTGTCCCGGGACCGGGCACGACTAGACAAAGACACTGGTTGGGGAACTGGATTCAGATGAGAACACGGCAGTTAGAGAAAAAGTAAAGAGAGAAGAAAAGAGAGCACTCGTCGCACCGAGGGTGAGGCTATGTCCGACCCTAGTGCAGGAAAGAAAGAATGAAAGGCAAGTAACTTAGAAATAGACAGTTACAACCCAGGCGTTCCTACGGATTAACTCCAACACGGAGAGGAAACGCCTGAAACTTGGGGAAAAAGGCTAAACACAGCAGCCAACAGAATGAGATATGGAGCATATATCACGAAATTGGACAGCCAAACGTCCCATTGGCAATGGGCCCGTAGGCCAAAAATGAACATGGGGCCCTATCCCGCCTCCGCCCCGTCAATAAGAAAGACCAGCTCCAGACCCGGTCTCCCCCTCTTACCACCCCCTCCCATCGCTCCAGCTACCACAACAGTCTGCTATCCTACCCGAGTCCCGTACACTGTGAGGCCTCCCATCAGCTCGGCATAAGTTCAACAGGGGTTTTGAGTCAGGTACCCAATAAACACATATATATGTCCCATAAGGCACACAAGCAAACTCGTGTCAGTGAACCTGTTCTAGCTCACGCCAATCACCACCCACCCCCCAATACCGCATGTAGGGCCATCAACTCCACCAGCAGGAGCTAGGTCAGGTAAACACAGTCTCACAAGGCACGTAGAGCTGGACACCCAAGACAGTCCACAAAGTGTCTCAAGGCCGATCAGATTTCCCGGTCCCCCGGGCGATCCCTCGTGGGCCGAGACGTGGATCTGTTGCGAGCCCCTCTGGGTCTCCGGAATCCCGATGGTCTGTGGCATGCTGTGGTCGAGGCCTCAGCCGAAGAAATGTCCAGCCAGTCTGGTAGCAGGAGTGGAGCACAGTCAAGAAAGTCCATCAGGTCAGGCAGTTGACGTGGGTGGGTCAGTCTAAAGGACCTGTCGCCTCTGCCGATCATCAGAGAGAATGGGTAACCCCAAAGATAAGGGATACCCCCCGCTTGGAGATGGTCTGTAAGGGGCTTGAGAAGGCGCCTACGGTGCAAGGTTTGTGGGCACACATCAGGCAGGATCTGGATGTCAGCTCCATCAAAGTCTACTGCGCCCTGTCTCCATGCATTGCGGAGGATTTCCTCCTTAACATTGAAAAAGTGCACGCGGCACAGCACATCTCTAGGCCTGTTGACATCGGGTCCTCTGGGGCCTAGGGTTCTGTGTACCCGGTCCAGTTCCAGCTGTTCTGTCGGGGGCTTACCTAGTAGGCCATTGAATATAGCTGTTACAGCCGCCCTCAGGTCTTGGCCTCCTGTAGATTCTGGGATCCCCCTCAGCCGCAAGTTATTTCGGCGGTTACGATTTTCGGTGTCTTCCAGCCGCAACTGTAGTTGGATCGAGTGGGCCTTCTGTGTCAGGACTGCCTCCTCCAACTGGGAAACCTGCGCCACTATGGCGGAGCCTGCCGTCTCTAAGGCCTCTATGCGCTGTGCCTTCTGGGCAACCCCCTCCCTTACCTCTGCTAGATCCGCACGGAGGGTAGCTGCAATCTGGCTGATCATGGCCTGCATGTCGTCCCTGGTCGGGAGCGCCACCAGCATGGCACAGAGGTCAGACCGGCTGGGCATGTCCATGTCACCCGTCGCTTGCGGGAGTCCCTGGGATGCTGACGCCACGAGCCCCAACATCGGGTCAGGTAGGGAGCTGGGTGGGGAGGGTGGTTGCTCCATCTGGGACCGCATAGCCTCCTGAGGGGAGCGTGGCTGGGCCGCAGCCGGGGACTGTCCCAGCACTTCCGCTCGCCACGCTGTAGGCCCGGAGCCCGAGGACCGCGCGGCCTGGCTTCTGGCCCTGACTCCCCCTGCAGGCTGGGATAGAAAGGGGTCCAATCGGGCCTGTACCCGCGGGCGTGGAGGGCCGTGGGGGGTCCACGATTTCCTGGTGCCTCTGGACATGGGGCGTAATGGCGTCTGATAAGGGGATCTACTGGCAATTACTCCATCACTCCACGGAGCTCTCCCTACTCACGTCCTCTCGGTGCCATGTTCAGGCCACGCCCCCAAGCGCTTAGTTCTTAACACTGTGGAGTAAAAACTGTCCGATCTCCGCTAGTGTGGTCAGTAAAACAGCTGATCAAGCAAAGTATTTTTACTCTTTTGGCTTTAGCAGAATGCAGGGAAGATTACGGGTCTACTAGGCCCTTGATGTCTTCTCAAAGGTAACCTGTCTCCTGCATTATGTGATCACATGAGGGTATTTATCTGCCTCCTTGTGATGGCAAAACACATTGGGCTCTGTTCACACATAGGCTGTTTTCTGCGCTAAGCATACAAAATAATTCCAATGTAGGTTATTCACACTTGCTCGACATCCACGCGGTATGAAAACGCGTGTTGCACAAAAAAAGTCGAAGCGCGATATACGTAGCCGATTCCGTGTGTTCCGGCTAAAGTAATAGCCGCAAACGTGCGGAATCCGCTCTTATGTTAAAGTTTACACGTTTTAGCTACCGCTATGTGTGAATGGAGCCTCAAGTTAAAAAAAATTTAGGTTTAAAAAAAAATATTGCAGTAAAATCAGAGAACCCCACCCACGAGTAGACACGAACAACATGGGTGTGCATCTGTACAAAAATGAAGTTTGCCCCCACACATCTGGAATCGCCGCTCATGCCAGTGAGAGCAACAATTCTAAATCCATTTTCTTGAATCTGACCTGTGAAGTCTATTAAAACTTTGCCTATGGACAATTTTAGGTGCCATAGTTTTTCGCTGTACTACAGGCCCACATATTTTAAATCTTGAAATTTTTTGGTATCTATTTACTTTGATACATGGTGCTCCCCTTTTTTTTAATGCAAAAAGTGTGAACTGTGTGTGTACAGTAAAAATTATTTAAGTGCATTTGTTACTGAAAATATGGATTTGGTAAACGGTAGCACAAATATTGTGACACAAAAAAAAATTAACTACCACTATTTTATTCTGCAGGGTCTACTTTTAGAAAATGTATGTTATGTGGTTTTAAATTTTGTTTTGATGTGTAAAAACAACAAAAGCAATGTGTATATTTGCATAAAATGGGGGGGGGGAAATGAGCTGGCAGTGACAGAGTAAACTGCAAAAAAGGACAAAGAATACACATACAGCATTTAAAGGAATACTGCATTCACCAGATAGGTAGATTATGAGCATAAGTCTTAAAATCAAATCCTAGGTTTTATCAAATATTTGCAGATGGAACAGCTAGTGAAATCTCTAATCAGTACTTTTTATTTATTAAAAATTATTAAATGTATTTTAATGCAGCTAGTATAAAAATGTATTGTTTGACTTGAGTTCAGCCTCTATAATACTCTCCTGCATAGCAGCGCTCAGAATGGGGGTGGGAGGGACAGTAGTTGGAACCAATCAGGTGTCATGCTTAGTCATGTGCAAACAAGGAACATGCTGATAGGAAAGGACAGAGTGATAACCTCATCCTTCTGTTGCTGCGTCAGTGTTCTATCACAGGCTCGGGGGCAGAGAAGTGACCTGGTTGTGTTGCTTAATGCTGCAGAGAAAACTCTGATCACAAAGCTGACTGTGCTGTGTGGTAGGGCTGTGTAAACCAAGGACTGGGCTGGAATGCAAATCCTTTTGACAGGTAAACCAGCTCCCATGTATGTATTTTAGCTGTGCATTTAGTTTTTTGTGTGGAGTTTTTCAGACCGCATAATTGAGTTCACTTTTTGCCATATACCACAGACATGGATAGAAGGTAGATAGCTACACATAATTATATTTTAATATGTTTGATTGTTAATGCTGTGGTTTTTTGTTTTTTGTTTTTTCCTTGTAGGTACAGAGTTACAAACAGCTTTCACTGCCACAATGTCAACCTCTACCTCTTCGCAGCAGTTGCTAAGGCTTAATTCTTCTCTTAGTAGGATAGACACTGATGGGAATGTGGTATGTAACAAAATCTTTCAATTATATATTAAATTTATATACTGCAGTTTTATAATGCATAGAACTGGACATATTAGAAACAATTTTTTTCTTAACCCCTTCACTGCCCATGATGAAATAATCTTGCCGTCCATGGCCGTTCCTGAAGGGAACGGCCATCGACGTTCCGTTCAGGGATCCTTATAGGAGTTGGAGGGCGTCTTAAGACGTCCTGCCCCTCCCCCGGCTCGTGTGCGTTGCTCAGCGCGCACAAGAGTGGGTGAACTGTTAGAAATGTAAACAGCCAGCAATGGCTCTTTACATTGAAGCGATCAGGCATCTCTAGAGACGTCTGATCGCTTGTAGTAGCTGTGGGTGTGCGCCCCCCTTACCGCAGTCTCCGTTGCTGCCGGTTCTGAGATGCGCTGTTCCCGCTGCACGGTGACTCTTATTGGAGATCAAAGGGAGATCAGTACTATTACATCACTTCCGCATTCAGTGTCATTCTCCGGCAACAGACGCCGGTGAGAAGCTGTTGAAGCAGATCTCTGCTTCATCAGCTTCTCTGGGGGTCCCTAGGTGACTGGTCTTGGAGACCCCTGATGTCTCCATAAAGAGAACCTGGTATTTGAATTGGCTATCACATAGGGGATTTCTTAGCCCCTATGTGATAGCAATAAAGTTAAGTGTAAAAAAATTAAAGCATAAAAAAATAAATAAAGAAGCGTAACAAAAATAGTGAAAAATAATATATTTTTTTTAAATAATTTTTTTTTTAAAGTCTCCCACCCCCCCACATGCAAACACGCGTCAGGTGCGCCCACGTGCGAAAGCGACAATTGTGCCCATTGCGGCGGTACATATCGCCGCAAACATAGCAATAATTTTAGGGCCGTTAATTACTGATAACTCTAAACTGATGAGCAGTTAAAGGGTTTAAAGCGTCGCCGATGGCCAATTTTGTGTGTGGTCGTTTTTATGTGATTTCGCTGACTTTACCCAACATGACCCCGTATTCTATGTTTTACCAAAAAATTGGGGTGATAATGTTTCATAACATTTCATAGGCCAACAGGTTTTTTTTTTCAAAATTTGGGGTACTTTTTTGTTATATAGTAAAAAATAAAAATCCCAGTGGTGATTAAATACCACTAAAAGAAAGCTCTATCTTTCCCCAAAAATGGTATAAAATTTGTTTCAGTACACGGGTGTGGAAATTTAAAAAAACAACTACTTGTACAAGGGCTAAAGCGGGGGCCAAATCTACTTGTTCTTCATGACAATCTACTTGTCCCAATACAAAAAATGTTTTTAATCAAAACTAAGGATGCACCAATACCGGTTGTTCGCTTTCGGATCTCGCCGACACTGAATACTAATACCAGTGCTTCCGCTGGCATGGAGCAGGCTTCCCTGGTAATCAGGAAGCCGAGCAGCAGGTAATAACATCCCGCTCAGGTTCCTCATTGCCACGGAAGCCGGCTGCATGTTGTTTGGCCTGCTTGATTGTGATTTGGCCGGGAAACCTGCTTCCCGGTCAATCAGGAAGCCGGGTGGCGAGTAATGACCTGATTGACCGGGAAACTGGCTCGATGCTGATTGGCCAGGAAGCCGGTTTTCCAGCCAATCAGCAAGGATCCGGCTTCCCGGCCGATCAGAAAACCAGGAGGCGTGTCAATACTTGCCGCACGGCTTCCTGATTGCACGGGAAGCTGGCTCCATGTTCCCCTACGGCACTGCCAGTCAGGAAATTTTCATCTGGCCGTAAGTTCCAATATCAGGGAAGGTATCGGAGCATTTGGGTGAGTACTCGCCCAAATACTCGTTATCGGCACTGATACTAGTATCTGTGCACCTCTAATCAAAACATATTTGACTGTGCTAAATAGCGCTTCTCACTGGTCAGCGCTAACATCTGACCACGTTGACCAATGAGTGCTTGCAATTTGCGAGCGAAATTCAAACTGCATAGGGGAGCACTGCGCTGGACAGCAGTACGGGGGACAGATAGTACACCGATACTGGCGGAGGGGAGGGATTGTTCGCTGAAAGGTAAGTATAGCCAGGGGGAGGGGGTGGCGGTTTGGGTAAGAGGGGGCCAGATTTCAAAGGGGTAATTTTTCCATATTACCTGGGAAAATGAACTTATTCTTTAATGCACGTTGTGTGTGTGTGAGAGAATTCTGGCTACCACCATGGAATGGCGGCTGCAATCTCAAAGCACATGCAGAATGTCCTACGCATGTGTTTATTTGCATGCAGATGGCGTTTCATTTTTTTTAAATTTTTTTTATTTTTTAAATCTTTTTATATATTTTATTAACTTTTTACATTTTCTTTAAATTTGTATTTATTTACTTTTTCCACTTAATGTTCTTCCTATCACATAGGGGATTAAAATCCCTTATGTGATAGTTTGGAGGTGACAGGTTCTCTTTATGGAACCTGCCCTCCAACACAGAACAGCTGTTCTGTGTAGTTCCTGACAACCGAGACAGGTGGCGCTGTGATTACAGCGCCACGGTCTCAGAACACACACAGCCCATAGAGCAGCCGTTGTGCCGTAGTTTTCGGGGTCCCCCGGGAGAGGGGGGACCCCGAAAATGACTGCGTGGGTGCGGGCAGAAACGCGGCTCCACAATGTACATTAAGCTCTGCTTGTCCAGAGCCGGGCTAAATGTACATAAAAACTACTCGCCCGAAACTGCATGTCCCGGGCGTCGGGCGATAGGAATTCCACACCCCTGGTACAGTGTTGTATGACTGAAAATAAACGTCAGTCAAAGTACCGCAGAGCTGAAAAATGGCCTGGCCCGGAAGGGGGTTTAACATCCTGGTCTTCAAGTAGTTAAACAGACTCTGCCGAGACTCTGTTCATATTTGTAGAACCGGCGGCCGGCTTTACAGTAGAAGTGATATCGCTTCTACGATCCAGTAAAGTGGTGGATGAAGTGGTGAATTGTACAAGGAATGTATGGCTACTCACAAACATTACAATCTGTTTGTGTTCCAATGTATGCATTCAGTGTTTTATCCAAATTTTATTGATGTATTGGGGCTGAAACAACTAATCGATAAAATTGATTATAATCGAAAATGAGAAGTGTTGTCAACGATTCTCATTTTCGGTAAGATGCTGCTGCCGCCTTTGCTCTGCTGCACCGTTCTCCACTCCTCTCTGGGAACCGCTGTGTGCTTTTGGTTTGTGTCCCGGCACCCAGCAAGCAGTAGAGACCACTGTGCTTCTGCATTCCCCTCTGCTGCCGTGCCCACGATCCTCCTCTGCTGGTCCCACGCCCCCTTTTCTGCCAGCGGTATAAAGCAGGCATTAGGTTTCTTCAGTGGCTGGAAGAAATAGCCAGCCTGCTATTGGCTAATTTAAATTGCAATAGCAGGTTGGCTATTGCACCCGCCCACTGCCTGCTGTCTGCAGAGGAGGACCTCAAGGAGAACTTTCTCCTTTTTGGTCCCTCCTCTGCTAATTGACAGCAGGCAGTGGGCAGGTGCAATAGCCAGCTTGCTACTGCAAATTAGAATAGCCAATAGGAGGCTGGCGTTTGCTCCCAGCCACTGCATGCTATATTTACATTCAGTTTCCTCAGCAGGAAGCTGTCATTCCCCAGTGAAGTGGAATGGTGACACTAGGGGTAAAAAATAAAGTTAACATTTTTCGGGGGTATTTTTTTATTTTAAGTCCCCCGACCCCGCAAACAGATACGCAAGTCGAGTGCATCTACGTAGTGAGCAATAATTTTCAAGATTATATTCATGGCTAACGCTAAACTGATGACTGGGCTTTTATTTATTTTAAATAAAAGTTTGGCTTTTTTTTTTATATTAGATTTTTACAAATCATATTTAAATTCCATGAAACTAATTAAAATGTCTAATATAATATAGAATTATTTAAAAAAATGTATAAACAAAAAGGTGGGAAAAGTAATTTTTGGTTTCAGCCTGACCAATTCTGCTGCAGGATGTGTCGTGGTGCCATTGATTGCAATGGCACCCCTCGTGCCTCCGCCTGCACTGGAACGCAGGTACTGTAATGCCATGCGTTCCAGTGCCGTGCGATTGCAAAAAATGTGTATGCAGTTTTATTCTGAAATACACAAATGGAGTTTTACCACCAAGTTTTTCATTTAAAATAAAAGATAGTATTTTTTTTTTTTTTAACCGATTAATTGAAAAAATTATTGGCCAACTAATCGATTATGAAAATAAGCGTTAGTTGCAGCCCTAACATGGTTTGTTGTTTTACCCCTCCAAAACTTTTAAAACTTTTCTATCTAAATTTAGCAGATTGCAAGGTGTATCCAGGTCTATTGATCGTGACAAAAATAATTGCAGTGCATCTTCTTTGGTACTGAAATTGACACGGTTTGCAAACAGACACTGTTATAGAGGTTAGGTAGAGTCATACTGTAAAATGAATTCTGAAATACTGTATATTCCTTCTGTAGAAGCATTTTTAGAGGTTTCCCTTTGCTGCATTTTGTTTTCTTTTACTTGTATTGGTTGGGAGTCCAGTCACTACCTCAGTATTTTGAGTAACATATCTTTCCTTGATTTTTTTAGACAGGATTTTACAGAACTACATATTTTGAGAAAGCACGCTTTTTAACCGGTTAAGGATCCTTTTTTTTCTTTGTTTTTGCACACGTGATATAATCCACATTGTAGGCCTGAAAGTTACTTCAAACCCCCAAACATTATATAGTTTCTGAAAGCCAAGACCCTGTAGAATAAAATGGTCGCAGTTAGAGCTGCAGCTAACGATTATTTTCAAAATCGATTAGTTAGCCGATTATTAAGTTTGATTAATCGGTTAATCGAATAAACGATAAAATAAAGTTTTAAAAATGGCTCCATTGATAGGACTACTAGTTTGTATTGCGGTTGTAGTCCATCACAGGAGCAAGCTTGGACCGGTGGAAGTAAAAAAGATAAAAAGATAGTGTGGTGTGCAATATAGTGAAATGGAAAGTGTAAAATTATACAGCAATGCATGCAGAATGGCA